TAATAATAACAATAATAATAATAATAATAATAGTAATAATAAAAATAATAATAATAATAATAATAATAATAATAATAATAATAATAATAATAATAATAAAAATAATAATAAAAGTAATAATAATAATAATAATGTAATGAATAACAATAATGAATTCCAATAATAATAATAATATGATGAATAATAATAACAATTATAATAAGAATAATAATAATGATAATACTAGGAGTATTACCAATAATAGCAATAAACATATAATAAAAATAATGATAATCATAGTAACATAAGCAATAATAATAACAAATATATAATGATAATAATACTAATAATAACCGCAATAATAAACTTTCAAGAGCTAAAAAAAAAACACATGTAACACTTCTAATTGAATTTTTTGTATATTGTTTTTAGGCAGCGGCTGTAATAAATTTGAGCATTTAATTTATAGCAAACATTCTTCAACGATTAGCTTTTGAGGCAGCCGAACTTTGGTTTTATTTGCAGTATAAATTTTCGGCCATAAAATCAGCAGCAGCAGCCACAGCGACTGCCAGCTGAAACCGGCAACAATAACAATAACAACGACAACAACAAGAGCAACAACAAGTTCAAGTTAATTACATACATCCTACAACATGACCAGATCAGCAGCAGCAGCAGCAACAACAACAAAACGTCAACAATTTTTGCACTTTTGCCTCAAGGTCGCAGCAGCAGAAGCAGCATCAGAGTCAGCATCAGAGTCATCAGCATCAGCTTCGACTTCGACTTCGACTTCGGCTGCACAATGAATTATCGTTTTAAGTGCCGGGAGATGCGCCATCTGATCCTGTTACAAAGAAGGAAGCGGAGCTGCAGGCATCGGCGAGGCGGAGATCGGGTTCTGTTTATCGATTCTGGTTCTCGTTCAGAAAGTTTACAGCATGCGTGACCTTAGCGTACAGGATTTGATGTGCTGCCTTTCTAAAGGCGGCCTTTTGTGGCTGTGAATGATGTCGCAGTTTCCACAGTTAATTAGCAAAAATATGGCCTTAAATCAAATGAGACTTCCCGTCAGCAATTTGACGCAAAATAATGATTATTATATTATGATTTAGAATATGTGCCAAAATGGACAGCTGGACAGCTGGACAGCTATTGTCTATTGTGTTTCCTTCTTAGCACAAATTAATCTAGCCGCAGCTGGGGCCAGCTCTGATTATATGGCTCACTGAACGGCACCGAGCGCTTTAATCAAAGCCAAATAATAGTTATACAAATCAAACGAATGCCGTAAAGTTTTATTTATGAACATTTCGGTGCGTTCATAAATCACTTGACTCGGGAGGAGTGCACCCACAAGCGTCGGTTGGCCAAAAATAAATACCATGTCCGATGGACAAGCAGAACCGAAAGAAAAAAACTAAAAACTAAACATTCTTTAACGCAAATGTTGCAAATGTTGCGGAAGTTAAAGGCTAATTAAAGCGCTTGACTTTTGGAATTGCTGGTAATAAAATTACGAGCTGGTATACCTATTAATAATGGGCACAGCGGGCTTGATAGTTTTATAGAAATGCATGTAACTGAGTGAGGAAAGCACCTTTGAGCCCATGGAGTATAGAGTATATAAGTTCTTTATCAGGAAGACGAGCTGAGTCGATCTGGCGGTGACATTGGAAATTTAAAACGAAAGACTTAAGACACGAACTTGTCGCAGCAGTAACTTTTCGAATTGCAGCAAGAGCTTCAAGCCGACTCTAAACAGTTAATAGCTAGAGAATTAAAGATTGAAATATATATTCACGATGGAAACATAAAGATCCGACTATAAATACCGAATTTAATCTAGAAACATTGAACCACAGTGTAGCTGCATGAAGAAAGCTAAGAATATTTTTGTAGAAAATTAAGGGTATCTGCAAGTCGGGCACTGCCGGTTAGAGCACACTTTCTTGTTTCGTTTTGGGGCGCGTTTCTGGTCGGATGCATCTAGAGCCACGTTGGCCACAATTGATTGCCCTTGCTCTTGCCAACTCGAGCATGGGACACAGGTAATTAAGGTGTGCGGGGCGTCTCAGAAAAGAGCAGAACAACATCCCACACACACACGCACACCGCGCCCTGTGGTGCGCCATTCACACATGAAGATCGCATGAAGATCAGCGTGCAAGGTCAAAGACGAAACTTAAATGCCTTTTGGCATGACCGAGAGTACGACCGCAGGTCGCGGCCAGCTCGATTCACACCTGCGGCAGCATAACAAAAGTCGCCAAAAGTTGCCGCAGCGAGCGGAACACGGGTAAACACGTTTTTGCGGCCAGTTCAATGGCCAGTTTTGAGGGTCGAGTAGCAGCAACAGGATGGGGTTCAAGTGCGTATGCAACGGTGTCCTTGGTGGCAAGCAGACGAACACGACGCAAACGAAGTAATTTTTATTGTTGCTGCTGTTGTTGTTGTTGTTGTTGTGGCTGGTGCCTTGCGGTATGCGCGCCACATATCAATGAGGCAGTCAAACGAAAGACTTAAGACACGAACTTGTCGCAGCAGGAACTTTTCAGATTGCAGCAACAGCTTTAAGCCGACTGTAAACAGCTAATGCCTCTTGCATATAGATTGATTATTTATTTATAATCGCATAGAATTACCATAAGACAAACCAGGAGGGCTGATTGCATTTTAACGCCAGCAATATCTGATTGTTCAAGGCGCCCGCTAATGACCCGATTAGCGTCTAATTGAATTATAACATAACCCACGCAGCTACGCACAAAAGAAATAAATCAAAATGTGGGCGCGATCGTGCACTTGAACTCGAGTCGAACAATTGTTTTTGGTATACATATGAGATACTATATATACTGCAGATACAATATCTATAGACGTTTAAACGAAAACCTGCTCATGACTTTACGCTTTTCGATTATTCTTGGACTTGGACAATTTGCTAGTCCGGTTTGTTGCATTGTTTCTTTTAGCTTTCGTAATGAGTGTGTAAAACCCATTTAATGTGATTATTGGGCAAGTCATGCTCTTCAAATTTGGGCCATTCATGCGACTTAGTCATGAGCAATGATCCAAAAATAATCCGGATATTTCATCCGTTTGTTGACTGTAAGCGCAGGCGCAAGTGCAATGCGGAATGTTATTGTTATTAATTATTGTTTTTTTTTTTCGAGTTTGATTTGTATTTTTGAAAACAAGCTTATTGCTACATTTAACGAATATTTATCGCTTTGGCGGCTTGCCTAAAGTAGAATTGCAAAAATTTGAAAATTTGCCTAACATCAATTATGATAAATGCTCAGCTTGGCCACGCTTCAGCCAAATGAAAAGAAAGAAATATGAGAAAAATATACAAAATATAAATACAAAACGTGAGCGCCACTCAACAAATGATTATTTAATAGCCAATTTAACAGCATTGTCTGCAAATATGAACACAAAGCGAACACGAGACAAAACGTTTTTGAATGAATACACGCAAATGTTCTTGATATTGACATTTATGAGGCAAACAAATATCGAGAAATAAAAGTCAGCTTAAGTATATAAATGTGACCAAAGGTCAATAACGCATCGAATTCTTGGCTTGATTTAAGCGCGACAATTATGAGTTTTATGTGTTTATATACCTATTAAAAAAGGGTCAATAGGGTATTATGTTTTTGTGCAAATGTGTTGGGCATGGAGCAATAATAAATAAATAAATAAAGAACCTAAGAGGCAAAAGAGCTCAAAAAGTATATATATATATATATATTATTGATCAGGTTTACGAACTGAGTCCATATAGTCTGATTCCAAGTCCGTTTGAGACTACAAATGCTTACGACTATGTGTTTGATATATATATTCTGTCAATATTGACAAAACTTCCTCCCATTTTCAACAAAATCGATAAAAATCCGATTTTGAGATTTAGTTTTTTTTAGGCATAACTCGAAAATTATCAAAGCTGGCTTATAGGTTCTCGTTTAGTATGCACAGATTGAATACTCCCTAACATTTCTCCCCGAAAAACTAACTTAAGAAATAGAATCTTCCTTTACTACTTATATATACCCTTTAGTATGCCATAGTTAAGCCATATCATTTTCAGATAGATCGGACAATAAACACCCAAGTTAATTAAGCATACATAGTGGGAGACGAGGGAAAGCAGAAGCATGGTATCTCAGGGTATCTCCTAGTCGAGCACTTCCAACTAGCGCACTCTGGCTTGCTTTTTTTTGGCAAGGTTCACAGCTGCCGTGCACCCATTCATCATGAATTTGGCATGTAAATTTTATGCAAAGCTGATCCGTACGATCGAATCGAATCAAACGGTTATAAGCCTGTCTGTCTGTCAGTCTGTCACCTTTGCCCGTTAATCTTGCAGCACTTCCGCGCGACCTTTCGTCGCTGCAGTTCAAGAGACAAGCTGATAGACGGACGGACAGCCGGATAGGCAGACGGACGGACAGACGGACGGACGGACTGACTGACAGTTGACGCTGTGTTTATTTATGGCCCAATAGCTAATTGTTTTTTCGTCGCTGACCAAATGTCAGCTGCAAAGGGCTTACACAATGTGCCCGAAGAAGCGACTCTCAGTTTTATTACGCTCATAAATTACGCATACGCCCCGCTAAAACGAGGCAAAAGCACAACAGCTACTGGTAATCTAGGAATTGCGTGACAAAGTTCTTACCAGATTTGCGAGCACTTCGAGAACATGAGTTTCATTTGTTTCGTTTGCATAGAAATGGGCAACGCCTGTGGCTCGTCACGTCGCCCGTGCTGATTAATTCGACTCTTAATTTGTTTGAACTGTCAGTTAATTACCGCAAGTCGCAGTCGAAGTCGCAGTCGAAGTCGAGTTATGGGCTCTGCACATATTTGCCGAAGCTCCATTTGAATTTTAAATTGTTTACATTTTTATTTATTTCTTTCGGCGTTTTCGGCATTTTATTTCAGCAACGGCTCACTCGGTTTTTTTATGACATCTAATATATATATAATACTTTTGTATGGGTGTTGCGACTACGTCTGCTTCTTCTTTCGATTCTGTGGGTCGTAAAGTTGAAACGATTGTGGCTATAAATTAATATTGTTTGTTTTTCATTTCTCTCGTGTTGTTGTTTTTTTTTTGTGATTTTGTTGCTTAATTAAAGCAATTATCCTTGTGCAATTAAATTGAAGCTAAAGTGCAAACTACTAAGGAATTTGAGCGCTAAGCATGAGCTATGAGGTGAGAGGTTGTTTCCCATTTAGAAATAGTGTCCATAGTGTCCATGATGATGGTGATGCAGTCCATAGTAGCCGCCATAGTAGGGATAGCCTGTTAATGGAGAGTAGAGATTTTAGCACACATTAGATGGACTGGGCCAACCTCGACTCACCGAACTCACCCAGGCCGTAGTAGCTGCCGCTGTAGTGGGGCCAGTAGCCGCCGCCGCCGCCGTAGTATCCGCCCAGGTAGGGTGAGGCATAGTAGCCATAGCCATAGGAGGCGGCGCCCTGCAAATCCTTTTCCTCAGCCTCGACGCCCGCCTCCAGGTCGTCGGCCACGCCCTGCTCCTCCTGCGGACGTGGCGCTGCCTCCGCACAGCTCAGCAGCAGGCAAAACAGGGCGCAGGCCAGCAGCAGATAGACGGAGCGCAAGTTGAACATTTTGTCGGATTAGTATTGGATTTTCCTCTTGCTTCTTGCTGGTGGTGCAAATGCCACTTGAAGTGTACAACTGACTGACGCTGGAGCCGTGCTGCATGTTTATATAATGCCAGCGATTCTTGCAACGTCGCCATCAAAGCGCAGCGACAAAACAATTGTCTACGGAAAATTTGCCTAGAAAATCAAAAAAAAATCCCCCAATTGGGCGACTCCATGGCTGCGTGTGCCTCTAACAATGCCCCACCAGCGGGCAGCCACCCACACGCCAGCTTCTCAATGAAGCGTACTCAGTATGCTTGGTACTCGCAACTCGTGCCTTGGGGCCTCGAGGGGCTACTATTTCTTGCATGACCGATTACTAATTACAATGCTGCTAACTCTGTCTACCTCTCACCCTCTCTCCCCCTCTCTCTCTCTCTCTGCCTCTCTCTCGCTCCCAGCTCTGAGTCTTGGTCAGTGGGGTCAATGTCGCAAGCAATATCAATTCTTAAAAGCCTACAAATTATTTACTCAATTTAATTTAAGACCTGCAGTCTTGGCTCGCATCCATAGATCTATATCTGCAGCAGTTCAAAAACCTTCTGACGTAGAGAAAGTTGTGATTACATAACAAGAACACGCTTGGCAGCATCCAAGTATTTTAAAAAGCTTTATTTATGGCTGTCCAGTCCACCAACACATAGCGCTAAGCACGCTCTCTTAAATAAATTAAACTTTTGGCAAACTTGCTAAACAACATTCTAAAACAATAAAAATAGAACTCTAGTTAAACATAAGACGTCCAAAAAATAGAAATGTGGTAATGAGAACGCGTCCATTTGGAGCTTCTCAAAATGTAACAGTCGAAATAGGCGAAAAAGGGGCACATAAAAAACTAAGATAAACAAGGTTAATATAAAACTATTTGGAAAATACGTGCTACTAACTTTTAAACGGAAGTCTGGAAGTCTATATATATACATATATAAAGTAAATTGCTTCCTATCTTCATACACAAAACATTTCTGTTTCCCATAAAATGAATCTCTAACAGTTTCATGAAAATATATTTTACAGGTTTTTCACACTTTTCGCAAAATCCACCCTTTGTAGTGGAAAATGTGTATCAAAGGTTAGAAACGTTTGAAAATTTCACAGGTTTTTTCTAAGCCGAACAAAAAAACGTAATAAATACATTTATCTAACATTTCACCCATAAATGTGGAAAACAAGCGGAAACGATTGAAAATTATTGTTTAGGAAAAAGTGTTTATACTTTTCTATTTTATCATCCGCCCGACATAAAACTTATTGTCAAATATCTATGAAATATATTTAAAAAGGGTGGACAGGTTATGTGTAAGATTTAATGGAAAATAACTTGGCCGGGCAAAGCTGGGTAATGTCCGCTAGTTATAAATAGAAACATGTTTTTATTATTTACACTATTCAAGTTCATTGGGCTCAATTACGTCTCTTTTCTGGTTAGAAGCTACTGGGTAACGAGGTCAAAATAGTTTATGATCTTTTTTCTTTATTCTCTTTGCACTTGTCTTTCTCTTTCATCCAACTGCTAATTGTTGACAGCTTTGCAGCCGTGTTCATGCTTTGAGTGTTGTTTCTCAGCAATTTGTATGTTGTGCGGGGTCAGGGTTCAAGACAATGGGCTCTGGCACGTTAAGAGAACGAGCTAAGGTTCCAGCTAGCCAGCTAATTGCCAGTTGGCTTATCTAAATTGCCGCATTAGCCAAGAACCTGCGACGCAGCCGTTGTAATTAGCCAAATTAAATGCTTGGCTGGCCAGCAAGAGAATCCAAAGACTCATTAGTCCCCCTACCCCAAACATGCATGGAACAAGGGCTTTCAAAATTTATGTGAGTTATTGAAATCTTAAATATATATTTAAATTAAAGCAATTGTGCTCTAGTCGGCAGTGCTCGACCAGAAGTTACCCTCTACCCACTTATGTATATAAACATACAAACGGCACACAAATACATGCATACATACGCACAAATACATATGTACACTTACATACATTCACATGCATACATATACATAGTCATTAAAGCATTTAACATTTACATAAAGCTTATTAGATTGCCAACTCTACTTAATGTACTTTGCAGCGGGGAGCTATCAAAATATAGATGTAAGTACATACATACATACATACACATACATACATACATACATACATACATACATACATACATACATACATACATAAATACATACATACATACATACATACATACATACATACATACATACATACATACATGCATGCATACATGCATACATGCATACATGCATACATACATACATACATACATACATACATACATACATACATACATACATACATACATACATACATACATACATACATACATACATACATACATACATACATACATACATACATACATACATACATACATACATACATACATACATACATACATACATACATACATACATACATACATACATACATACATACATACATACATACATACATACATACATACATACATACATACATACATACATACATACATACATACATACATACATACATACATACATACATACATACATACATACATACATACATACATACATACATACATACATACATACATGCATGCATACATGCATACATGCATACATGCATACATGCATACATGCATACATACATACATACATACATACATACATACATACATACATACATACATACATACATACATACATGCATACATGCATACATACATACATACATACATACATACATACATACATACATCTACATACATACATCTACATACATCTACATACATACATCTACATACATACATCTACATACATACATCTACATACATCCATCTACATACATACATCTACATACATACATCTACATACATACATCTACATACATACATCTACATACATACATCTACATACATACATCTACTAACCTGCCCCACCTCCTCCAGCTCCGACGCCTCCTGCTCCACCGCCGCAAGTTGCTCCACCACAGGCCGTTGGAGGCAACGCTTCCTGCCTTGTTGAATTTCAGCAAGGCCTACTTGAATTCTTGAGAATCGAGGAGAAGGGCACTTGGCAGAAATTCGTTTTATTTAAATTTTCAGCACAGCGACATATAGGCTTGGTCTGCGTTTGGTATTAGAAAACAAACCTGCATGCATACATATATACATAAAGTTATACATACATACATGCATACACTAATACACACACGCCCACACACACACACATGCATACACACCCACACAAACACACTCACACACATATATAAACTAATATGCCTTCGTAAAAAAATACTTGTATATAATCTAAATTTTTGGTTTGTCCTGACTGACTGACCGACTGACCGACTGACTGACTGAATGGCTAGCTGACTGACGGACTGACTGACTAACTGATTGACTGACTGACTGACTGGGGTATGTCCCACCCCCATAACTCGGTCAAATCTCATCCGATTTTCATGAGGTTTTGTTTTTTATTCATGGTTTTCCCTTTAGATTAATCTTGCATTCAAATCTGTAATCATATTTTTTAGTCGAAATTCATGTCAAAATCTTACCCCCAAGATTCGTATAAAGACATAGGTCGAAATTTCCCACCTCCATAACTCGGTCAAATCTCAACCGATTTTCACGAGGCTTGGGTCTTTGTTCATGTTTTGGCCTCTTTATCAATTTGGCATCTAAATCTGACAACATTATTTTTGGTCAAAATTCGTGTGAAAATTGTACCATCAAATATTCTATATGCATATATACATACACACATACATGCATACATGAATGCATACATACACACTCAGCCACCCAACCAAATTCAAATAAAATGCAATAAAAATCACTTATATCTAAAGCATGAAAACGTGCAATGCTTACTTGAATTCATGAGAATCGCATAGTAGGGCGATGTTTAAAAAAAGTTTTGTTTTACACAAGCGGTAAAAAGAAAATACATACATACGCACACACTTATATATACTTTCTTTGAAAGATTGGGGCATCTTTTTAAATCCAACCCCGAACTAAAGAAAATGTATTTTAATCGATTCTTATCAATTTTAAGCAAAACGGGGATATATCGAAAGATCAACCCGCTTAGACAGACAGACAGAGAGACAGACAGTATATTCCCTTACTTTCATCCATTCTCAATGGGAAGAGGGTATAAATAATTCTAAGTGAAACATTTAAAAAGTTAGCAATCTCTTTATGCGACAGTCGAACTGAAACTAACTTACAGCTAAGGGCAAATAAATAACAGTTAAATTCAAGTGGGCTATTCCAGGTCCAGCGTCGTGATGGGATCCTTTGCCTTGGGCATATCTGGAAACAGATGGAAGAGCGCGGAGCTTGGCCTCGTTTCGCTTGTCAGACGCGTCTCATAGATCATGCCCTCCTTGTTGATCAGATACCAGCTGGGCGTGGGCGTGGCCAGCGCGAACTCCTCCCGATTGAGCGTCGTGATGGGCGCCACAGAGGGCAGCCTTCGGGCGATCTCATCCAGCTCCTTCAAATAGACATCCAAGGCGCGATAGTCGCTATTGTTGCGCACCTGCTGCGCGGCCACAAATTGTGGGCCAGCGGTCAGATCGTGCTCCTGCCACAAATTGCGTATGGTTGCCATGACATCCGCATAGAGCACGGAGTCGGCGGGAGCAGCGAGGCGGGCGGAGGGCGAGGCGAGCAGCTGCTGCGGCGGCGGCTGATTGCGGCTATTTTGTGATTTGCGTGAGTTAACCAAGCGGCTGGCCAATGGAGTTGCGGAAGTTGTTAAGCTGGAAGTCGTCTCCAAATTGACTGCTGTCTCTGTTGTTGTTGTTGTTGTTGTCGTTGTGGTTGCCTCATGCCGGAAGTTGCGACCCCTCGCGGTCGTCTTTTTTGCGCCCAGCCTGAACAGACGCTGGCGTCGCCGTCGACTGTCGCAGTCTGTCGCATTTGTCGCAGGCGTCGTCTTCTCGGGCTCCTCATCGGGCACGTAGCGCGTGGCATTCTGGAGCAGCTCCCCAATGTGCGCCACCAGCTGCAGTCCGTGCGCCACATCGTAGCTGCCTTCCCCTCCCGCCGCCTGCCGCCTCACCCGCTTGCTGCGCTTGTGGCCCTGCCGCAGGGCTGCGCGCAGGCGCTGCTGCTGGCCGCGCTGGTAGAGCTGCTGCTCGAGGGATTTCTGGGCGATCAGCGTGTGCGTCTGGCGCTGGATGTGACGCTGACGGAGCGGCGGCTGCTGCGGCTGGCGCTGACGCTGCAGAAGACGCTCCGTTTTGCGCACCGAGGCGAGGATTTCCATCGGCAGCTGCAGCTGATTCTGATTGGCGAACTGCGCTGCCAGCTGCGTCTCCTGCGTGAGGAGATCCCCGCTGGCTGGCGGCACAGGTCGATTTGTGCTCACCTTGCGCGGCTGCTCCCAGACGACGGCCTGTGGCCGTTTTCCTGGCTGTGGCTGTGGCTGTGGCTGCCTTTGCCGCAGACGCTTGAGCTGTTGGAAGTGCGGCGGCGGCTCAATAATGCGTATCACATCGCCCGCATCCTCGTCCACATAGCCCGGCCGTATGTCCTGCAGATGTGGCGGCACGCGCTGCGCAGGCTGCTTCGACTGCGGACGGGATACGCGATAGTCGGGCGGCAAGGTGGAGGCATTCCCAGGCGCTGGCTCAACCCTTAAGGCCAGACTGAGCTGCAGCAGGCCGAGCAGGCAGCTCCAGGCGCATCTCCTTTGTGGCGCCATTTGCACTTTTACTCTCGCTCTCAATTTCACTCTCACTTTCAAGGCCAACTTTTCACTTTCGCGCGATCCGGACAACGACATCGACTGCGGCTGCTCCACAACTGCGCCCAGGCGTTCGCATCGTTGCGCCTTTATAAAATTTGCACAGCGTTTTGCGTTTTTGCCAATTTTCCAGTTTGATTGCGCTTTGCCGCTTTTCTTTGCCAGCTCATTTCTCCCTCTGCATACTATTTGCCATGACGCGGTGTCTTTCGTCGTCGTCTTCCACTTTTTCATCAACGTTCAATGAAAGCGAAACTGGCAACTGCAACTGCGGCTACAATGACGTTGCAAGTCGCAACAATTGCTGCTGTGGTCAATGTTATAACCGGTCAAAGACGTTGCCCCAAGTCTTGCCCCCCCCCTCTTCATCCCCCTCTATCAAAGTCCCGCGTGATTTAGAAACCCACTTTGCATATGCAAAGCGAGCAGCTCTTGAGTTTGGCACATTTCACATTTGAAAACTAGTTTGAAATTAATTTTTTTAAGTGCTTTTGTTTTTTCTTTTAAGTCCAAACTCATATCTCATTAGGAAGCAGCAGCTGGCACTTGACTTGACCCTAAACTTGAACTTAATAGGGAGAAAGCATGCATAATTAATTGTGAATTTCAAGTTTAACTTAATTTAATCAAATGCAAATTGAATTAAAATATTTGCCTTTATAAACACACTTAATCACATTTTGAACGGCATTCAAAAAGCGCGCCTTGGTGCTGACTGTCAAAAGCTGACAGCTATGCACGAGATGCCGAGCGGAACGTTGGAATTGAAACAATTTAAATTTAAAATAAATGTGAACAACGTTGCGTAGCTAACAACTTGAATTTGTTGAAAAGTTGTAACAAATTTAAGTAAATAAATAATATTATTAATTGATTTTAATTATAATTATTTCTATCTATGGTTAAGTCAAGCTTCTACTGCGGATTCGTGTTAAATGAGTTTTAACTGCAATTTTAATACGAAAATAACTGATTTTAACTTATATTATTTTCATAGATTAGTTTGCTTTTAAAACTCAAAATAAAAACATTAAATTTTGCTGAAAAATGCAAGGATAAAAAGAAAAATGTAAGGGAAAATGGGAATAATTTTAATTTGTATTATTTGAATAAATACTTTTTTTAATCTGAGCAAATCGTATTTAATTTAGCTGGAAAATGCAACAATAAAAATTCCCCAAGATTTTCGTTTTATTATTTGAATAAATATTTCTTTTCAGCTGAAAAATATTCTTTTTACTGTTGCAACAGTAAATTTTAAGAAAATGTAAATGTATTGAATTTTTATTTATTATACTTTAATAAATTATTATTACTTCTACAACTCAACAAGCCCTCAGTTGGTTTTATTTTTTTTGCTACGCACTACAAATAAATAAATAAATAATTAATGCATAAATTAATGAAGATGCTGTTAAACATAAAGATTAGGTAAGATTAGGCAGATTACGTCATTCAGTTGCAATAACTAGACAATTATAGGATTTACTCCCGCCAGGCACAACTACAAGCTAAGGCATCAACGAATTAATACAACAAACTGCCGCATGCGACTCTGTTAGCCAGGGGAAAGGGGGGGAGGTGTCATGCGACTTAAATTTAATGGGCCACAACCAGCGGCTGCCATGCATTGTCATTGGCAAAGCCAAAGCGTCCAGGAGCAGCCGCACCGCCCGCACCAAAGCCGATGCGACGCTCGTGCGAGGCGGGCACCGCATGCTGATAGACGCCCATGCCCAGGCGCTGCTCCACCAGCCGCGACTCCTCCACCACGTAGTCCGGCTCCGGCTCCGACTCCGGCTCCGGCTTAACCCCGGCTGGTGTCGCGTCCGCGCGTCTGTTCTTCTCGAAGAAATCAATGATGGGATGGTAGCTGTAGTTGATGCGCCTCGTGCCATTGTTGTTGCCGTTGCCCGAATCCCCAAAGGTGTAGCTCACATGTGGCGGCTGTGGAAGTGCCGTCGATTGCTGCTTCTGCTGGACGTAGGTGGTCGGTAGTGGCGCCGCTGGGCTGGCTGCGACTGCGGCTGCGGTCGACGTCGCAGCGGGCGCATAGAAACGTGGTCGCGACTTGCTCGCGGAGTTGTGGCGCTGACCCTGGCCGAGGGCAGGGTTAGATGATGCAGTTGCGCCGGATGCAGCAGACGCTTGGTGGGCATGGGCGGCAGCACCGACACCGACTGCGGCTGCGGCTCCTGTGCGGGCTGGTAGGCTGCCGACTGTGGCCGCGACTGCGGCTGTGCTCTGTGATTTGGATATGTGTATGGGTATGCGTAGTCGAGCTGATCCTCCGGCTGGTTCGCTGGCAACGGTTGCGGCTGTGTGGGTGGTGGAGCTATAAATACGCTTGCGCTTGATGGGCACGCGCGGCTGTTCCCCAGCCAGCGTTGGCCCAAATACGTTTACCTCTTGTCCGGCCTGTGTCTCGCTGGGCGACAGATCCATGTCGATGTCGACGCGCGGCTCATTGTGCTGCGGCCGCCGGCGGTTCAGCTGGCTGTAATACTTTTTCGAGCCGGAGCTGGAACTGGAGCTGGAGCTGCTGCTCTTGTGGCTCTTGTAGCCAATGCCAAAGGGATCCTCATCGTCGGGCGGACTGAGATAGGGGCCCACGCTGGCGGGCGCCGGCAGCTTGGAGCGCACCTTCTTGCTGCTCAAATAGCTCAGCTCGTTGTTGTCGCGAGTGTTATACGGCGCATAGCTGAGCCCCAAATCGTCCTCGTCGCTCTCGTCGTTGTAGTCCAGATCCTCCTCGTTGATGGTGCTATAGCCGTTGCTGTTCCCGTTGCCATTGCTGGCCAGCTTGTAGCCGCCCGGCGAATACTCCTTGGCCTGGATGGAGGAGAGCGGCGGAAACTGCTGCCGATAGCCGTCCACCTGGCACGAACAGCAGGTGGGCACCTTGAATATGTCCACATGCAGGCCACGCACCTTGTCCCAGCTCAGCAGCCGATGGTAGTTGTAGACCTGTGCGCAGTGCGAGCGATACGTTTGCGCCAGATACGAACAGCTTTCGCCAGGATTACTAACCAACAGAGAAAGCGGCGCAATTAGAACAGTTTATGAATACGAAATGCTGCAGTCAAGTGCAATGAAAACAAGCTGGCATTATGACTAATAGCTTGGTAATGCTAATAATTGACAAAGCAATAATTATATAATGCTATCTGATTAAACAAATTATATAGCAGAAATGATTATGTTTATTTATCTCCCTCTCTTTGTCTTTCCCAGTCGCTCACTCCATTCTCATATTTGAGATTCGCCTTCTTTTTTCATATATAAGCAATTCTTGAATTCATGAAAATCGCATAGAGGGGCGTAATTTGCACTGCTTGCCTACGACATATTTCCTTATCTGAGAGGCATTTCTATCTGATTAAACAAATTTTATAGCACTCCATTCTCATATTAAGAGATTCGCCTCCTATTTTCTTCTGTAAGCAAGACTTGAATTCATGAAAATCGCATAGAGGGGCGTTATTTGCACTGCTTGCCTACGACACATTTCCTTAAATGAAAGATGGTTACTTCATGTGATAGATAATGTGATTATGATAAAATACGACATAAAGAAAGCTTAATATTCACATTTTCACAATATATTTGTTTTTACTTCAGTAAAGTTTCAGCTATTTATAAAACGAAATCAACTATAATTTCAATGAAGCTAATGTTGATAATGATGATTGATAGCTCTATCATTAGCTTAGTGTGCCAAAAATAGTAAACTCTTTATGTAACTCGCTTTTGCTCATTTTGGGTTGATGAACTTTTGAAAGTTATTATTGTGAGTTGCCAAAACTTAGTGAGGCAAGTTATCATTATACATATAAAACATATAATCCTGACTGATTGCTAAATTTTGATGATAAATGGACTAGTTAAGCGTTAAAGGAAGCTATAATTTTTACTGGATCTTTCTTTTGACTCAAAAGGGAGCGCTTAGACGAGGGAAATCTGCATGAGCGTAGAACCTTTAAGCGAGAGGTCGCGCGCTCAAATTCAGTAATTTTTCAATCTAATGAACTTGAAACTAACTCAATTTGATAGCTAGACTCACCTGCACTTCTCCAGCCGCAGCGTTTGTGTATGCTGACCCGTGTTGACAATGAACTTCCATTCGCCGGAGGCGGCTTTGGCTTTTTGGGGGCGGGCATAGCGCACAACGCTCTGGCACATGCCGCCGGCGCTGCCCTCGTCCTCGCGCCTAGAATGTATATTAAGAGAGTTATTTTTTCATACGATCGCTTGATCGTTGACTCACCGCTTTTTGTTAACCAGATAGTCATCGAACTCGTCGCCAAACTCGAGATTGTTGTTGGGCTTATCGTAGAATTCGGCCAGCAGAGCGCTCATCGCATTCTTGTGCCGGCGAATGCTGCCCATGATCTGTTCGCTGCGTTGAGGTGAAAGTGGAGAGTCAAGAGAATGTTTTCTTTTTTTTTTATCTGGTAAGAGGGGAATTAGTAGAACCACCGAAACCACTAAAATATTTGTGCAATTGGATTGAGGAGGTGAACAAAATAAATTACGTTTATTTAAGCTAAAAATTCGTACTACACTAGACAACCCGGGTAAGGGCACCAAAAGCCGGCTAACTAAGTGGATCTTACAGCGGATAGTCGTCGGTGCGGATGCACATATTGCTGGTGAAGCGTTCGCATTTCTTGTGCGGCGGCGCCACCACCGGACTGTGCGAGCTGGCCGCGCTCTTTGGCCGGCCGCGGCTGTAAACTGAGCTCTGGACGCGCTTCCGCTTGATGGCCGGCAGCTTGGCGCCGGGTCGTCGATAGCGCGGACCCGCAATGAGCTCCTCGGGACTGGGCAGCGGCTCCTCAGCGCTGCTGTTGCTGCTGTTGTCGTTGTTCAGCTGATAGAGACGTTCGTCTGCATTGGGCGGCAGCTCGGTGCCATTCAGGCCGGCTAGGGCGAGATCTTCGACTTGCTCATACGACTGGGTGGGGCTGGGCTCTGTGCTGGCAGCTGCACCGCTGGGCGGCTGCTGAAAGACCGTTGTATTCAGCTTGATGGTGCGTCCCGCGGCGCCGCCCAGCAGCTGCTGTTCGCTGACCGAGACGGGCACCGAGCGCGTCAGCTTGTGCACAAATTCGTTCGCCGTGCGACGCACACGCCGGGTCCGATTCGCAGCCGTAGGCGTGGCTGACTGGAGCGCCTCGTTGATCATCTGCGGATCGAGCACCTCCGCCTGCATCTCTTCGAAGAAGTCCTCCAGCGAGCTGGCCGGCGGCTCTTGGCTTGGCTGGGCGCTGACATCGATGGTGCCCACGCTGTCGTCCTGCTCGGACTCCTCGAAGGTAAGCATATCCTTGCGCTTCTGCAGCGGCGTTTGGCGCAGCGCCGCAGACGCCAGCTCGTTGCCCAGCCGGATGTACTTGCGGGCCGAGCTCTTCACCAGATTGGCCAGATCGTAGACAACGGGCAGCAGCAGCTTCCGGTCGTCGCCAAACATCATGCGCACCTGCAGCATGGCAAAAAGTGAGACAAATTGTGATTTAATTAAATGTAATATTTGCTCACCTGCTCCAGCTTCAGCTCGTGTCCGCGCTTGGCGTTCATTTGCGCCGAGATGAGGGCGGAGAGTGCCAGGCGCTGCTGCGAGGACAACACGCGCAGAATGGGCATCACTTCGGCAAATTTCTGGCGCAGCACACGATCCGTCAGAGCCTTGGACAGGGCTGTGCGCAGCACTCTTTCGCGCCAGTCGAACTGGGGCAGCTGCTTCTCCGGCTCCGGTTCGTCCAGGTCCACGCTAAAGTCAAGCATATTGTCTTCCAGTTTCTTTTCCGCCTGCTGTGCCTGCTGCTCATCGGCGGCCAGCTGCCAGTCTTCGATGTTGGCTCTGGCGTCCGTTTCGGTGGCGTCGGCAAAATCAAAGTCCAGCAACTCATCCTCGCTGGCGCTGACCAAATCCAAATACAGCACACAATAGAGCAACGCCCAGAAGAGGCAGCCAAAAGCGCGGCCCGCTTTCATTTTCGCTGCGAAACAAACGAAAGTTGTTGGGAAAATGCGCGTACAGATTGCAGTTATTAAGACGAAATTAAATTCCACAAATAAAAGCATCCAAAAAAACACCCAAAAAAAATATAATTTATTGTTATGCGTCGCACGCTTTCAACAGCGCGCATTCTAAACGAAAGACTTAGGCAACGAACTTTTGCTTTCATTGCCTCAGATTTGAATTTGTTGCTGCTGTTGTTGTTGCTGTTGTTGTCGTTCACCTTTCCACCGAAAGTAAAAGCCATTAACATGAGCATTAACAATTGTAATAAAACCGTAAACACCACAATGCACCACCGCACCATCGCACCACACACAAACACACACACACGGCGTCAGCGCCAGGGGCTGAGCCGCAATCATAATCAAGTCGTCGCAGTGGCTATTACGGCAGCTACCGCTGCGGCTTTAGGTAATCGCCATCGGCACAGCCATAGCCAAAGCTATAGGCCATAGCCGGAGTCATAGCCATAGCCATAGCCATAGTCATAGTCATAGCTCTAGTCGCAGTCACAGTCATAGCCAGCGCCGCATTGTGGCCAACGTCATCTTCGCCTGCTCAACAAGGCGTGAAGCACCAAACAACTCATAAGTTGTTGTTGCTCTTGTTGTTGTTGTTGTTGTTGTTGTTGCTCTTCTTGTTGTTGTTGTTGCTGCAGTTGCTCTTGTGCTGCTGCCACATCACGTACTCAGTCATAAATCAGGCAACCTCTGCAAGCTGTGATCTGTGCAGTTAACTAGGCAAAAGGCCTTGCGGCTGATAACAATAATTTTACACTATGCAACAACATTCTGCTGCCAACAAGACATAACATAAATAATAAAGAACTGGTGTCTTCGGCACGCCGAACTTTAAATACGCTCGTAGAATTAAGGCCTTGACGATGCATGAGAAGTATTGTAAAACTCGTAATTGCTGAGCTTGGTGTAGATATTTGGATAAATGAAAATTCATCCTTAGGAAATATAATATAATATAATCAACTGATTCTTCCTATACAGCTATATATCACAGAAGTCCGATTTTTAAAATATATAATATTAATATATATTAAATTATATAAACTAGAAAATGTCCAATTTTATCCATAAATATTGATTAAGAATAAAGCAATTCGTTCAAGTACTTAATTTTCAATTAATTATTCCTCTGGTAGCTATATGATAAAGTGGTCTGATCCGACTGATATACTGTCAGCAAGACCCAAGACAGACCTAAGTGAAGATTCAAGGGGAAAGCTTTAAGACTGAGAGATTAGTTTGCATAGAAGTCTGTTTCTGAAATAGAAAGAGACAGACGAACATGACAATGTCATATCGGCTGTTAATACTGATCTAGAATATATCTACTCTATTGGATCGGAGATGTGTTCTTCTATGTTTATCTTATTCCTAGACTAAACTAAAATATCGTCAAGGGTTAAGAGTTCAAGGGCTCATAGACCTCTATAAAGGATTTAAATAGATTGCAAGCATTTAAAGCCTGGTAGATTTTGCTGTTCCCTTTGCTGGGAGAATTAAATTGTATCCCAACCACCGGACTTTAAGTCCAGTATCGTGAAATATTTGGCCGTACGCAAATTGGCCAATATCATAGGAATGTTTGGCATTAAATACATATGATTCACTCATTCAGCTTCCTAGAGTCGATAACAAGTTGGGCCTCAACTCCTCCGCCTCTTCAAAGGCTTCAATTGGCTCCAAGCTCAATTCCGAACCTCTTGGATAGAAAGGAGGGCCAAAGGTTAAAGAACGAAAGTTTATTTTGTATTTTCTGTCGATGGGTTTCAAACTCATTTTCAAATATCTGTGTAATACATAAATTGAGACGTCTGTAATTTAAAGCAAAAAACGTAGACCGGGCAAGGCTGAGAAATACCAGATGTATTTGTATATATAGATGTCATTCATATAAGTTTGTTAAATGTGCGCCTTTTCTAGCACAGTTGATATGAATCAACTTTGCATTTTGGGGTTAAAAAACCGAAGCTACCGATTTCCTGATTAATAAGCTAGACATGCTCGTGCCCCTGTCTTGAACCCGCATTGATATGTATGTTGATTGTTTTTTTTTTTGGTCGATCACAATGCAAAGGCGCGCGCCCACGGAATGCAAACAATTGCATTCGAAAGTGCTCGTCTGTGAATGCCAATGCGATGGGAGCTGACAAATTCAAATGCTAACTACACCCAGGCCCGAGGGAGGCGGACAGACAGGCAGACGGGCAGACAGGCAGCGGCTCCTTAAGGCATGGCCAGAGGCAGCCTCTGCAGCAGCTGCAGCAGCAGTTGCAGTTGCCTTTGCGGTGACCTTTGCGCAGTTGAAAAGTGAAAACTTGCCGACGCTTTGGCTTTATCTATCGACTGGTTGACAGTTTAGAAAAGGCAGCGAGAGACATTAACAGCATTTGGCAAAGGAGCCTGCCAAAACAAGCCACAAGGCCAGTAAATAAAAAGCTGCTGCCAGATCTTCAGGTTGCATCTTCAACTTAGAGATGAGCGCGGGTCGTGCTCGTCTGTTTCTTCGTGCTCATCTTAGAGCACGTTCTCTTAAATAAGGCTAAAGTAAGAACATTTTTATCAACTATAACTTTTGACTCAAACCCATTCGTTAGCACACTTTGACTTTGTATTCCAGCTCAGCAACTAGCGAACCGATTTTTTCAAAAGTAAAAATAAATAACATGAGAAAATATATAAAATATACAAGACAATACACTTTATGTATATATAAATAATTATATTAAGCCTGATGTAAAATTCTTAGAAAAAAAAAGACAAAATAAAAATATATTTTCGACTGATCTAAGCTGGGCTGCCTTGGAATATATATATATTTAATATATAATATATATTTTATATATATTTAATTTCGTGTTCGTTTTGGAACGTGCAGTAAAACACGGCCCGCGACCATCGCTAGCTCAGTTGGAAGCGCGGCCGCCCCCAGCTGCCAACGAGCCGAGATTTGTGCGCATCGTTTGCTTTGGCTTTAAGCGGCGCGCAGGTCGTGAGGATGTTGCCGTTGTGCCCGTGTCTTTAAATTATTTTGCACACCTGCGCAATGGCATTGGCAACGCGTCAAATGGCCCCAGAGAAAGAGAGAGGGAGGGAGAGAGAGGCCGACCTCGGCGCTTCTGGTTTTTTGCGGCCTTTTGCATATGAACATGCGCTGGGCACTGGGAAAGTGATGCCATAAATCAAATTAAGCCAATAAGCCGCAATGCTTCCCACAGGCCATTCGGTTCCCAGGCGCCCACATTTTCAGTAAAAGTGAATAGATATACAAATTGCGCAGATGCTGCAGCTCGAAGATGCAATTTCACTGGCTAATTCTTTGGCAGCTCGTAATTAGCTTATAATTCGCGTGCGTTGCGACTGACGTTCAAACTGGGCCAGTCGAAAAAAACGAACAAAAGTAAAAAACAAGCAAAATAAAAAACACATCAAGCAACAAATTAAAGCTCTGCAATAAGAGAAACAACCGCAGCAAGAAAGTCGCGAGTCGAGAATTCTATAAGCAGACACCAGCTTGTGGCTGCTGCAGCAACAACAACAACAACAGCAACAGCAACTAACCGACTAACCTAGTAAACGCAACTTGAACTAGACAGCTCACAGATTGGACAGTGTACACTGTCCAGCCAGCGCAAGAGGCGAAAAATAATCGATGGCGCGTGCTCACACATTCAATTTGCCGGCCCTAAACAAAAGACTTAGGCAACGAACTTGACACTAGGGCAAAGCGGCGCTGTTAACGATGCCATTAAAAACAATTAGAAAGAGGGTTGCTCACGCTGGGCATGCACGACTAGAAAATACCCTAAGCAATGCTTCTTCCTGCTGTGGCCTTACATGATTGATAAAACGTTTGTGCTTAACTGAAAAACTTATAGTCGTATCTTAATGATATCTGCCGGGATTAAATATGGCATACGCTTGGGTGTGTATACCAGAGCGCAAGGCTCTGTTTATAGTTTTGATGGAAAGAGAGAGGGGGGGGGGGTATTCACAAAGGGATATATTTTTAATTGGTATATAAAACACAAGAACCTATATATAACTCTTGAAGTCTTCATCTTCGGGTTGAGCCTTAAGAACCATGTTCTTCAAATCGATAATTATCGATAAGTGGGAGTAGATATCGAAAACTTATTCTGCGTATGGCATAGTATAATATATAATTTGTAGACAGACAGACAGACATGGCTAGATATAATTTATAGACAGACAGACATAGCTAGATATAGATTATAGACAGACAGACAGACATATAAGCTTTATGGAGTAGCCTCCCCCACTGCCTGCTACATACATTTGCACAAAAAGAGTATACCCTTTTTATACATTTACAATGGGCGCAGGGTATAAACACAACAACAACAAGACGCACAGCACGCACAGCTTAACAAGCTGACACAATTTCCTCGGCCGTAAAGAATAAAAAGAATTCAAATTTTGGTGCGTCTCGCTGTGTTTGTTGTTGTTGTTGTTTTTGTTTCTTTTAGAAAGTTGTTTCCATTTCACATATTTGGCTAAAAACATAAATAAAAATAAAAGAAGCAGCATTTAAAGATTCCATTTTCGATTTTAGGTGTTCGTTTTTGTTACTGTTGTTTTATTTGCTGCTACGTTTTATGATTAATTTATAAAATGAGGCTGCGCGTCGCAAGAAATCACCTCGTTCGCTTTGGATCTGCGGCTTAATGTTTAGCCCCGTTTATATTTTTCCTGAGAACCGCAATCGAACTTCTTCACTAATTTTCTTTTCACTTTTTATGTTGGCTTCTTCTTCATCTAGTTGTTGATTTTGTTTCGAAGGCAAATTTTCACAGATTTCACACGCGCCTTTATTTGCCGCTACAGCAGCTTTTTTCTCGCTGGCGAGAGAGAGGGAGAGAGAGACGCGAGAGTAGATCGGGAGCAAGAGAGTAGAGCAAACACTGTGAATAACTGTGCACAGCTGCCGCTTGCACGTCTTAACGCTTTCAACACTCGCCGCCGACTGTTTGCTGAGGCGCCGCCGTTGCCGCTGTCTCTGCTGCTGCTGACTGCCGACTGCTGACTGCGCTGCCGACAGCGCTGCTGGTTCTGTTGCTACTGCTGCTGCTGCTGCTGCGACGTGTCTGCATTAAATTGCCAATTGTCTAATTGCTTTTCTTTTGCAGTTCGATGAACCGTTAGCTGGCATTAAAAACACACACACAATTTCAATTTGCACAAATAGCTCGCACGTAATGCGGAAGCCTTTGCGCGCTTCTTCACGCCTCATTACAAAGTTCGTGTCTTAAGTCTTTTGTTTTGTGGGTCAGGAAACAAAGCGCGCGCGCGCGCTAGCTCGCCCTAACGGAAGCCTGGCAAATATGCATAGCTAAATTAAATGGTTAAAGAGTCGTTAACTAACAATTTGCCTGACGCTGCAATCCAGCTGCAGCCTGTCAAAGGGGTCAGGCGAGGGCCCGCAGCGTAAATCAATTTAACAAGCTGCCACTTTTGGCAGCCAGACGAAAGGCAGGCAACAAACTTTCGTTTTTTTCTTCTTTTGTCTATAATCTGAAAATGGCCAAAAAATGGTTTGTTGGTTTTGTGCAAAGGTATGTGACAGGCAGTAGGCAAATCTATATTCTTGTTTAGGATAGCGAGCTGAGTCGATCTGAGCATGATCGTGAATGCGTCAATGACTTTGACTTTAAGATCCAGATACTTAAAATATGAGAAGAGGAATATATCTTCATTATTTATCGTATTTAATCTTTTAGTCATACCTCGATCGCGCTTCAGGGTATCTGCTCGTCGGTCACTTTCGACCAGCCCAGCTTAAGTTGTTTTCCTTTTGCAAGTCTGCCCTCGGCCGTGACTTAAACTGCACAGTTAGCGGCTTACTCCCCGCTAATTGAACTGCAAACTTCGGCTATTTTTCCATTAATGATCATTTTCGGTGTGTTTCGGTTTTGTGCACTTTTATGTTTATATCTTTATCGTTTGGCTAGTGGAAATTAAAAAGACGCTTAAGTTGGCATCTGCTGCGGCCGGCCTCGCTTTCAATTGCCACTTGAAATTTTCTTCACACTTTCTTGGCACAACGGCCGCATTTTCAGCATTACTTTGGATTTTTTTTTCTTCTGTTTTTCACGCAGTGCGTGTTTCGGCTCTTTAGGCCGTTACGCACATTATGTTTATGTCCATTAAACATATTACCGCATCGCTGGCGTTTTATTTTATTGCAGTGTCATCAATCAGCGATTCAAACGGAAAACTTTTCTGCTGACTTTCCCGCTAACATCTGCCATGGCCATAAAAAGCCCGCATTCAGATTGGCTAATTTGCAAATTACCGCCAACTCCCTTTGTTGTTGTGCCAAGCTGAGCAGCCAAATTGCTGGCAGTCATAAAATTTATCCCTTGATTGATGATCCCGCTGCGACGCGATTCGCTCAGTTCCTCAATTGTGCAACAACGAGGAAGATGTGCGCGCTGCCTATGCAACTGTGAACCTTAAGCAAACTTAACTGAGCAAAAACTCATTAATATGCTGCCTAAATGCATAGCGTTTGCTTAATTATGCATTAAGTCTCGTTTAGAATATGCTAAGCACTGATGAGTGAAGCGCCTTCCGGTTATATGATGCCTCAAGGTAAATCAGCTTCGATTTGTGGTAATTATACATTTTATGCTTTTAAGCACAAGTTATCTGCCACTTTTAATCCAGCCCAAATCCAATCCATTGAAACTTTACTAATTAATAAAAAAAAAATAAATTAATATATAAGCTAACGAAATGTTTTTTTGTTTTTACGTTTTCGTTTGCCCAACAAACACATTTAAATTTTGAGCTAGTTCAAAAAGACTAACTCCAATCGAAACTTGTTGTAGTTGCCAGCTGCTTACAAACACGTTGTAAACTTAAGTTGAGCAGGGTGGCAACCTTATGAGCGCGAGAGCAGCGCTGCCAGCTCGCTGGAAAAAGCTTAAAGCTAGCTTACTTATCAGCTTGAAACTTCACTTAGATTAGCCCTCTATTAGCTATAATATTTAAGCTATTGCATTCCATTTAGATAAATAAACTAACTAAACTAAGCTACATTCTTTCTACATTTGCTATTTCTCAAATTAATCAATCGTCTAAACAACTCTTAAGCTCTCTTAAAGTCTATTCTAACTATCTCAGCACTTACTAGCATATAAATGATTTGCGGATATTTCCCGCAGAACCGACTATACTTACCCGAAGTATTCATATTATAACATATTTTAAATATTTGCAACTCGGGTAAACTGAGTCCGCTCTGCGAATAATACGGATATCTACTATCGATTGACACATACTACAAACAAATTTTTAATTTTGACCATTTGATAAAAATGGCTAGGGATTACATAAAAATGTTGGTGAGAGTTCGGATTGTTCGGAGATCAAATGTTAAATGGTCCGGAACGATTCCTACTCTCAAGTTTAATAAAAATTACTAGAGTTTACTTTTGAATTGAATTAAATTTTTCTGGCGAATATTGGATCGATTCATAAATCGACAGTTTTTGATTCCAATCTAATCTTTCAAATCTTTTCCAAATCAGATTTCAATTAATTCAGATTTGGAGTATTTAAACTCATACGAATGTCTAGCATCGATTGACAATAACAAAAAGCAATTCTTAAATTTTTAAAATTTACGCTTAAATTGGCTCGATAAAGTTATGTACACATATGTACATATAGCTCAATTTCTCAATTGGTGTAAATATAATTATTATATTTCGTGTTTAATTAATTTATTTGTACAATTATATATATCTATGTCGATAACAATAATATTAAGTCCTATGTTGAGAAGAATAAATTTCAAAACTAAACTCTGTGCCATACATATATTGCGGTGCAGTCAACTCGACTAAGGCTACGGATTACGTTGGGCGGCTCAACTTGGGGAAATGAATTTTAGATATAGACTAGAAGAACTAAGTGACTAATATCAACTAAGCACAAGTAGCGCCATTAATTAAACATAGGGCCTAAATAATAAAATCATAAAATAAATCATGTGCAACGCATACAATATATACAAAAGATTGAGAGGTTCTCAACCGAAAACGTCACGAAACTAAGAGGCAAAGATACAGATATAAGATACAAATAATACTGCTCGACAAGCACGCGAATTTTGAAATGGTACAGGAAATATGTGTGTGTGCGGATGAGCCTGATGTACACATTAGTTGGTGGGCAATGGCGACGAGATGATGGAGTGCAACAGAACCCTGCATCGAATCAGCTGAAACAAGTTTCGAATACTCGAACAATTATTCTCAAGCTGAAAACAAGCCCAAGCTGCAAACAAAAAATTGAAAAGGTCTACTCGACCGAAGATTCGTTTCAAAAGAACTAATCTAACTCGCTGCAAACTCGTTCGAGCTAATCGATCATACATGTATGATATCAGACCGTTAGCTCGAACATGTTGTAGCTGCTCGAGCAGCTCGAACTTTGTTTGGTTACTCGTTTAGCTCGATAATCGTAGGCTCGAGTTTGTCGGTTTTCGTTTAAAACAATTGAGTACCCGAGTTTGAGGCAAATGAATTAACCGATGCCGGGCCCTAGTGTGCAGGTGGTTGTTGATGGTGGATTGGTGGATGGGGTGATTCAGTCAACGTCATATTTCGCACTCAAACTCCGAGATGCGGTGGTTGAAGTAGACAACGCCATGTTCGAGATCCTCGCTAAAGCCGCTCACGTCCATATAGTCCGAGGCGGCGGAATCATCATCGACCCACTTGTGCAGCGATCGTGTGATCTCCAGACGCGACTGTGCGAACGTGGGCCGCAGCTGCGGCTCCTTGTGCCAGCAGCGCGACATCAGATTGTAGAACTCGTGCCGGCTCTCCTTGGGCAGCTCGGGTCGCAGGCCCTGCGGCACACGGCGTATGACCTCGCGGCCCGTCAGATGAGAGTACGGCGTGGAGCCTGTCAAAGCAAGGAGATGTGAGTAGAGGAAATATATATATAAGGAGCTGAGCCTCGGCCTACCCAGCGTGGCAATCTCCCAGAGGACGATGCCAAAGGCCCAAATGTCCGTTTCGGTGGTGAACATGTGAAACTGTAGACTCTCCGGCGCCATCCAGCGTATGGGCAGGGCATGCCGCTTGCCAATTGTATCATGGCCATGATGCTTCTTCTCCGCCTGATCCTTGGAGCAGCCGCCGCCGCCCTGGCCCTGGCCCTGGCCAAAGGTGTGCTGCCAATGTTGCAAAATATAGCGACTGCCAAAGTCGAACTTAAACTTTTGCGCATTGCTGCGCATTATATCGTTGGCCGCATTCTTCTCCTGCTCCTTGCGCATGCGCTCCGCATCCAGATCAATGGACATGCCAAAATCACAGATCTTGCACATGCCATTGTGATCCAGCAGCACATTCCTCGCCGCCAGATCCCGATGGACAATCTGTCGATCCAAAGAGAGTAGAATTTAGAAGTATGCCCATTTTTGTTGGATCGAAGCTGAGCTTACCCTGTGCCCGGCTATGTACTCCATGCCGCAGGCAATGTCCAGCGCAAAGCCCGCCAGGGTGCGTGGCGAGAGCGGCGCCAGGCTGCGTCCGCCCGGCACCGAGGCGGGCAGAATATTCGTCGCGCTGCGTGCGGCCCGCAGCAGCGACAGCACACGTCCGCGCATCGCGTACTCCATGATCAGCATGTGCGGCTCTGCGTACACAAATCGTAAAAGGATTAAATTTGATTAAGTATGCCCAATAAAAGGGGGTAAAAAGTCACATTTGTATTGAAGACGTTAATGGAAGCATCTCTGACCTCACATATTATTGATCAGGAAGAGGAGCTAGCCAAGTCCTGCAAGAACGCGTTGATCTCAGACACTAAAATAGCTAAAGACTACAGAAATTTTATACGTATATTCTCCTATGCCATATCTAGAGGGATTTTTGATATCTGCTCCCATTTTCTTAATATCGATAAGTATCGATTTTGGGACTTGGTTTTTTTAAGCATAACTCGTGAATTATAAGCTGTATTAGACCAAACTTTTTGTGTAGGTTCTCGTATAGTTTGCCAAGATTAAATATATTTCACATTTTAAAGACCTCACTCCATTCTCCACAGAATTAAAAAATACGCATCTTTCACGCAAGAGACCTGCACTTTGGTATACACACACTTTTTGCTCATATATTAAGTACTTGAAAACTGCATAATGATCGGACTTTAAACATCGAAGTTATTTAAGAACGCACTTCCCATAGTGTGGGGTTAAGAGAAGAAGCACAGCTGAGCTGTCAAGGCATGCGTTCATGTGTGCGTGTTCTTACCTAGGTATGTAACATATGTATGTATAGAAAAAAGTTAGAATGTTGACTTTAGAAACGAATCGTTTTTAAGTCAACAAACTAATTTATCCCATCGATTTTTAAAATGTTTGAATGCCAATTTATAGAAGGGATCCCTACGAATTCATAAAGGTATAACATTTCAAAATCTGACAGTATTTACCCGAGATGTTCAATAAAAATCATCAAAAAAGTTTCGATTTTCGCACCGACCCCGAATTTGAGAAAAAACGTGATGTAACCCCTTGCCATTTTGTTGATTTTGGTCAAAATTTAGATTTTCATTTTGTTGATGCCAATCGATAGTACTGATCCATACGAGTCCAAAATAGTATAAAATTACAAAATCTGACATTATTTAAACGAGATATGCCAAAAAATCTTCAAAAAATGATGACTTTTTTAACCCATCGAATTGTGAGCATAGCTCAGCAGGGTATCTGTCAGTCGACACGCATTTGTCTGCAGCCGCAATACGTACCGCTCTCGACGCAGGCGCCGAGCAGTGTGACCACATTCTGATGGGAGCCCAGCTTGCGCATAATGTTGGCCTCATCCTTGAGGCTGACCTGGGCGCTGCAGGCGCGTATTGTCTTGACGGCGACAATGCGCGTGGCACCGAAATGGCCGCTCAGATCGTCCGCCTCGGCCTTCCACACCTGGCCGAAGTTGCCCTCGCCGAGCAGACTCTTTAGTCGGATGTTGGTGCGCTCGAACTCCTGATACTCGCTGGCCAAGGATGTTTTGTCATCGTAGCGATTGTGGTTGGAGTCGCGCGGACTTTGTTGCTGCTGCTGCTGCGAGTTGGACATGGGCATGGCCTGCTGCAGCTGCTGCTGATGATGGTCGACTTCATCGTCGTCGGGCTCCAGCTGGTACTTGGAGTCGATCTTTTTGACGGGGCTAATGGGCTGCTGATCTGTGATGCACACATCGAAGACATCGTCCTGCTTGGCCTGGCGCCGCACCACATAGTTGCGCACCAAATATAAAACAATGGCCACCAATGGAACCACGCCCACAGCGACCAAAACCAGTGTGACCAAATTCATGCGCCTCATCTCGAGGCCGACATCACGCTCCTCCGCAATTGCCGTAGAGCTTACGTCGGATGGCAGCGAGGAGGAGGAGGACTCCACAATGCCTATGAAGATGTTGGGCGCTGGTGGCGCTGGGCTGGTGGTGCGCGGATTCACCGTGGAACGTACGGATGTCAGCACCGTGGTGCGCAATATTTTCGAGCCCGAACTCGAGTCGGTGGTGGCCGCGAGCTGTGGCGGTGTGCGCGGTGTCGCCGCACAGTTGGCGGTGCTGTTGCAGAATATTATCAGATTATTCTGATCCTCGATATTGATCTCCTGCGTCAGAGAGGGACCCAAGGCGCGCAAACGTTCCGTATCCTCCTCGATGATGGTCTTTGTCTTGGCTGACAGTGTGCTTGTGGTGCTTGTAGTGGTTGGGGCTGCAATTGTGGTGCTGGGCCGAAGGGTTGTTGTGGTGGTTGTTGTGGTGCTCGTGCTTGTCGTTGGGGCAGGTGTTGTCGTTGTGGTGGTGCTTGTCGTGGTGCTGCTCGTTGTTGTGCTGCTTGTCGTGGTGCTCGTTGTTGTGGTGCTCGTTGTTGTAGCTGGCTTTCTCGTGGTGCTGGGTGGCTCTGTCGTGGTGGTGCTGCTGCTTGTGCTTGGCTCGGCCGCCACCGTTGTCTCCTCCTCGGCGCTCAGCACGGTGATAATGAGTGGTGTCGAGGATGTCTGTGGTTTGGCAGCCACTCGACGCACCAGCACAGGCTTTGGCAGCAGCTCGGGCTCAGCTGGCTCGACGGGCTTTTGCTCCACCGAGCTCTCCGCGAGACCCGCTGTGGGTCGGCCCGAGCCCACGTAGCGCGTGCGACTGATAGCTGCTGGTGGTGGTGCAGCTGGTGGGGTCAGTGGTGCAGTGGGCGCCACGCCGCGTTCGCGCATATGATACTTGTAACGACTGCGGCTGCGCTCCACGGCGGTCAGGGGGCGACGCGTGGAGACGGTGGATTTGGCCGTCGGCTGTACGGTGGTGCTGGCGGGGCTGGTGGTGCTGCTGGTCTGGCTGACGGAGACCTCGAGCACGCGCGGATGCTGATCGTCGCCCTCGGCTGGTGTGATGGTCAATGCGCCGGGCTTGATGGGCGGCAGCTTGGCGCCAAAGTATAGATAGGGCTGCAGCTCGGCCTCATCCTCATCCACGTCCGCCTCGTCTGCGACATCGTCCTGCTGCTCCAGTGCGGCCAGCATGGGCTTGCCACGCCCACGCTGCTGCTGCTGCTTGCCCGCCGCCGGCAATTTGACAGCATCAGCTATGTGGTTGAGCGTATCGTTCTGCTCCTTGGCCACCACAAAGAGCCCATGCGAGGACTCATCGCTGAAGAGTATCTCGTTGGTGTCGCGCTCACCCGTGCCCGTGCCCGTGCTGGCCGCCTTGCTGGGCGCCCGCAGCACCACCGAAGAGCTGTTATTGGCGGTGCCCGCCATGGCCATGCGCGTAAAATTGGCGCACTGTCGCATGCAGCTGGCGGTGGTGCGGCGCGTGAAGTTCTTGGTGCAGTTGCGTATGCACACGGAACGCGGATCGCTCGGCGACTTCGAGGTGCTCTCCACGGCAGCCGCAGCCGCCGGCGAGATGGCGCTGCGTCCGGTGGTGCCGATCCGCGTGCGAAAGCCACCGCGTTGCAGTGCGGTGCGGCGAGCGGCCAACACATTCCTCAGCTTGCGATCCCGCTCCAGCGCCGAGTTAAGTGGCGCCAGCGAAGGGCGACCCCCCCCAGCCGCGGCGGGCCGGTACGTTGTGGGCTTCTCGGCAACCGCGTCTGCAAGAGAAGAAGGGCAACGGATTAGTAAAGCCGAGCAGCGAGAGAGTTCCTGTTAGCTTGAGGCCAGAAACGTGACGCGTCTTGGAAAAACAAATCGCGTTTGGCAATGTAAATAAATCAAATAAATAAATGAATATTAATGCGTTCAGGGCAAGCGCTAAATCCACAGACAAACACGAGCAGAAACTCGTTTCAATTGCCAAGTGGGCAACAGTAGAGTTAAGAGTTGAGTCTTTGCCAACTACAAATTGAATATGGACTACAAATAAGCGTACATTATAGAAAATATTCACGATCAGCAACAAATGGGTAGACCATATCCGCTTGTCCTCTGTCATGTCGATATCCGAGAAGAACTTGTCGCTATCAGAGACTACAAGAGCTGAAGACCTTAAAAAACCTATACATACTAATTCCTTGTAGGGGGTATTATAATGAGGTGTGACATCTTCGACTATATTATAATATATATATATTCTAGATCAGTATCACAGGCGTCTGCCTGTTTCTATGCCAACTGCTCTCTCCCCCTCTCTCTTTATTGCAGGCAGTACATACATATGTCGGAACAGGCCAGATCTGACCAGAATATCATATAGCTCCCATAGGAACGATCGGTCGTAAAGTAGGTTCTTGTATGAACCAAATTGTATACCCTAGCAAAGGGCATTATATGATCTATATGGCTCGAAATGTATAACGCATAGAAGGAGACATCTCCGACCCCATAAAGTATATATATTCTTGATCAGTATCAACAGCTGAGTGGATATATTCATGTCTGTCTGTCCGTCTGTCTGTTTCTATGCGAACTAGTCTCTCAGCTTTAAAGCTATCGTCATGAAACTTTGCAGAAGTCCCTCTTTCTGTGGCACGCAGTTCATATATCGGAACCGGATCGGATCACTATATCATGTGGCTGCTATAGGAACGATCGGGCAAAAAGTAGCATTTGTATGAACAACATTTTTGTTTATCAAGATATTTTAACTATACTCGGTATTAACTATTTTCCCTGTGCTTCTTAGATACGAGCTAAGTATTACGAGCATTATGTTTATCAAGATATCTTAACCAAACCCGGCATTTACAAGTTAAACTATGCTGCTTATATATAAGCCAAATCTTATCAACATCGGACTACTATATCATATAGCATTTCATTGTAGGCCATATGTCTACAAGGGCATTTAGTAATATAAACATTCTAATCGACAACTCTTAGACCAACCTTTTGTACAGGCTTCTTTCGATAACTGCCTTCGATAATTATCGATAATCTGCAAAGCTTGCTTTGAGCACAAATATTCCTTTACTTATAGGAGCTAGAAATGGCAAATTGGGCAACTCTTTTAGCAGGGCATCTTCTAGTCGGGCTAGAGCACTTTTATCAATTCAGCCTAGAAATATTTTCGATTTCGGCTACGGCTCCAACTGGTTCACAGTAGCCTCTTGACATGTTTGCACCGTGGGGCAGCAGCAGCTGAGCTGAGCTGAATAATTAGTTGGCCACAAATTGGTGGCAGCTACGCGACGTAGTTGCCCCTCGGGCAAAACAGCTGCCCATTGTGCAGTGGATTTGTTAGTGGGCTTTTTTTTTTTTTTGTTGTTGGCCAAATCTTATTCTGCTGCTCGGGCCATGAATCATTGAGGCGATTATCAAGCGGCTGCTTGCACAATTGTTTAATTTTCACGTTGCCATTAAAACTGCCAAAACGACTCGCAAGCTAACAAAACAGCCAACAATGTTGCTGCTGCTGCTGCTGCTGCTTTTCACAAGCATTTAGTTCATTGGCTTGCAGTTTAGGCCAAGGTTAGGCCTGGCATCTCAAGCGCGGCGAGACTAGAACAAGCGACAAAGCTCGCTGCCGCCTTTTGGCTCGAAGACTTGGATTTTATATATTCGTAGTTTTGTTTTCTTTTTTTTTGGGTTCGAGCCTCGCTGGCTGCTCCATTGAGTGCGCTCCATAGTCTGCCTATTTCACTGTACAGCACAACAGTGCGCCCCATTTGGGCGTCTCGTCACGTCGCTGCCTTCAACAGAACCAACAACAACAACAACAACAGCTACGAACTGCGACTGCCATTTTTGCTCTATGTTGCGAGACGCGGGCGTTGCTGTGCCTACTTTTAATACCCTTACTTAAATGTGAATATGAACTATGGCATTCCATTTGTTGGGCAGAAAGTTCATGATGCGGCTGCATAAGAAGAGAACCAACCCAAGTCAATCAGTCTCTCAAGAGACAGAGTTACAGAGGGAGAGAAAGAGAGAGAAAGAGATAGAAAGAGAGAGAGAGAGAGAGAGAGTGCGAGAGAGAGAGAGGGGGGAGAAAGACTTAAGAGAACGAAGCAATAGGTAAAACGAATGTCTTTGCAGCACAACGAAGATATTGTAATATAATGTAAAGATAATGTAATAATAAAGCTAGAGGATAGAGTGAATGATAGATAAGAGTAGAGAGAGTGAGAAGAAAAAGAGAGAGAGAAAAAAGATTAGGAGAGGATAGCCAAAGATTGCGAGTAAGAAGGAGATAGAGTAAGTGGCTGATAATAAGAGAGAGAAAAGGGATAAATGGGTGAGAGATATAAGAAGAGACAGCAAGAGAAAAAGAGAGAAGAGAATAGGGAGACAGCAGATAATAAAAGAGAGAAAAGGAGTGAGAGAGACAGTGAGAGGAGAAGCAAATAGTGTGAGCAAGAGGGAGACAATGTCAGTGTATCAGACAGCAAACAGAAGCTAGAAGTTAGTTTTCTCAAAGGAAAAGAAAAGATATATAAAGTAAGACATATGCAGCAAATAGAGAGCATTCGAAATTCGGTGTATTTTCAAGTATTCATATAAATTTGTTTAAGTTGTTGTAGCTGTTGCGGTGTTTGTCGTGCTGCAGTCGGACAGACAATCGTCAATCCACTTGGCCGCACAACTTCTTGGCATTAGCTATGCTGCTGCTGCTGCTGCTGCTGCCGCTGCCGCTGCTGCTTGGCATGCGCTGTGGAATTTTAATTTGAATTTGGCCATAGACACGATTTTGTTTTTGGGCAGCGGCTGCACGAAGCGAACCAAAACGAACGAACCGCAGCCACAAAATGGTCAACAAAGCGCGAAAACGCCGAAACGCCACGAAAAATTCTCTTTTAGCGCAAAAACACAAATTCTAAGCAGCTAAAGCCAAGTCAAGTGCTTACATAATACTGAACAATCAAGAGTGCTCTAGTCGAAAGTGACCGACTAGCAGATGCCCTATGCCTGCAAGCAGACGCAGCAGCTGTGCCTTTGGGGTGGATGAAGCTTCGCTACGAAAAATGCATGTTTGTTGTGTATATGTGCATGCAAGCTTGCATGCGTACATGTATGCATACATGTCCGGATGCCTACATACATAAGAATCGAGGAGTAGAGCACTTGGTAGAAATTTGTTTTATTTAAATTTGCAGCACAGCGACAAATACATGTCCGGATGCCTATATACATCCATAGTTATATACATACATGCCTACCTTCATACACACATATATACATGCATGTATGCATGCAGTTTTGCATGTTTGTGTGCATGTCTGCATATGCATGTACGCATGTTTATTTGCATATACATGTATACATACATACATACCTACATACATACATACCTACATACATACATACATACATGCATACATACATACATACATTCATACATACGTACCTACATACCTACATACCTACATACCTACATACCTACATACCTACATACCTACATACATACATACATACATACCTAGAGACCTACAAACATACTCACCCCTGACTTCATCACCATCGCACTTGTCAGGCACTTACTAAAAATGCATCAAAAACTCCGGGGCCTACTTAAATTCATGAGAATCGAGGAGTAGAGCACTTGGTAGCGATTCGTTTTATTTAAATTTGCAGCACAGTGACTTATAAGTTTGCTCTGCGTTTGGTATTAGAAAACAAACATACATATATACATCAATGCAGACATACACACATGCATACATATACACACACATACATACACACACACAGACACATATATGTATATATAACACTTATATGCCTTCGTACAAAACGGTAACATAACTCGGTCAAATCTCAACCGATTTCCACGAGGTTTGGATTTTTATTCATGGTTTTCCCTCTAGATAAATGTGGCATTCAAATCTGAACACATATTTTTTAGTCGAAATTCATGTCTAAATCTTATCCCAAGATTCGTATATCGACATAGGTCCAAATTTCCCACCCCCATAACTCGGTCAAATCTCAACCGATTTCCACGAGGTTTGGCTTTTTATTCATGGTTTTCCCTCTAGATAAATCTGGCATTCAAATCTGAACACATATTTTTTAGTCGAAATTCATGTCCAAATTTGATCCCAAGATTCGTATTTCGACATAGGTCCAAATTTCCAACCCCCATAACTCGGTCAAATATCATCCAAATTCCACGAGGTTTAGCTTTTTATTCATGGTTTTCCCTCTAGATTAATCTGGCATTCAAATCTGAACACATATTTTTTAGTCGAAATTCGTGCCCAAATCTTATCCCAAGATTCGTATATCGACGACATAGGTCAAAATTTCCCACCCCCATAACTCGGTCAAATCTCAACCGATTTCCACGAGGTTTGGCTTTTTATTCATGGTTTTCCCTCTAGATTAATCTGGCATTCAAATCTGAACACATATTTTTTAGTCGAAATTCATGTCCAAATTTTATCCCAAGATTCGTATTTCGACATAGGTCCAAATTTCCAACCCCCATAACTCGGTCAAATATCATCCAAATTCCACGAGGTTTGGCTTTTTATTCATGGTTTTCCCTCTAGATTAATCTGGCATTCAAATCTGAACACATATTTTTTAGTCGAAATTCATGTCCAAATTTTATCCCAAGATTCGTATTTCGACATAGGTCCAAATTTCCCACCCCCATAACTCGGTCAAATCTCAACCGATTTCCACGAGGTTTGGCTTTTTATTCATGGTT